TTTATTAAAATTGGGCGTAAAACTTTGAAGGAAGATTGCATGACAATCTTTGAAAGTGAAAAGAATAAGATGAAGACGCTCGTTAAAAACATCGATATAGTTTGTTTAACCACCGATCTTTGAAAATCAAAAAATAAAAGAATTGAATACATAATAATTACTAGGCATTTTGTTGATAAGGATTGGAACCTCCAAAAAACAGTTTTTAGTTTTGTGCATGTGTCTCCTCCTCAACGTGATATTGACATTGCAGATGCTATGCATAAGTGCTTCAAAGATTGGGGAGTAGAAAATAAAGTATTTACTATATCTGTGAATAATGCATCCTATAATGATGTATGTTTAAGAACTTTGAAGACTGGCCTATCTAGATATAAGAAATTGGTTTGTGATGGAAAATTATTTCAAGTGAGATATTGCGAATATATTCTCAATCTTCTTGTCCAATATAGGATAAGTGTAATTGCATCAAATATTGAGAATGTGCAGGAAAGCATCAAGTTCATCAATCACAGTGAAGCGAGGCTCGGAACATTTTCTGCTATTGTGCAATAGGTATACCAAATTTATTGTAAGAAATGTTAAAGTGTATATTTTGTATGTGAAAGTCTAATAATATATTTATGTATATATTTTTGTTTAACAGTTGCAGTTAAGAGAAAAGAAGTTGATTTATCAATATGCTCACTCGTTGGAATTCGACATATTTGATGTTGATCACTACCTTAAAGTTCAAAGATGCATTTCCAATGTACAAGGAAAGAGAGTCCAATTATGATTGCATTCTAGAACCTGAAAAATGGGATAAAGTGGAAAAAAATTTGCAAGTTATTGGCTGTCTTTCATGCGGTAATGAATCTTATCTCCGGTAGTGACTATCCTACTTGCAATTTATATCTCATTGAAGTCTATAGGATTAAAGAAGTTATAGATAAGTCGCTACTAGATAATAATTTCTCTATCCGGCAAATGGCTAAAAAATGCAAGATAAATTTGAAAAATATTGGGGAGAATGCAATTTGTAATGGTAATAGCTTCCGTTATGGATCCTAGACTAAAAATAGGTGCGTTTGGAATTTGTTATCCTCAAATTTACTCAGAAGTAGAAGCTAGGATAAATATACAGAAAGTTAAGGATGTCTTGCAAGAGCTATTTGATGAATATGTTTCTTTATATAATGCAAATAATAAGGAGAATAGCTCTCTGAATGGAAAAGGTTCTATAGGTGCTTTGAGTGATAAAAACACCTCATTATCATATTTAAGTTCAAACTAGAGCTATATTTTGAAAATGGTGAGAACGAAAGATAGTATACCTACATCCAAATCAAAGTTAGAAACATACTTGGATAAGCATACATATATGGTGAAGCAGAAAATTATCATTTTAGTGCTTTGAATTGGCGGAAAACCAATCAATTGATGTATCGTGTCTTGTCAAGAATGGCGGTTGATATTCTTGCTGTTCTTATTTCTACGGTGACATCGAAGTCTACGTTTAGTGCTGACGGGAGGGTAATTGATACGTATCGAGCATCTTTAGATCTAAAACAGTTGAAGCGTTGATATTTGGAGAGGATTGCATGCGAAAAGTCTATAGTATAAAGAAAAAGAAGATAATGATTTATTTGAATTCAATGCAAATAATTAGATTTTATAAGATTTATTGATATTGTGTTAATTTGTATGATTACAGGTTGAAGATGAGATAAGAGAAGTGGAGATTACCTTACCAGAATGTTAAGTACAGGCACGATTATATGTTTGAGTCATTTATTTTCATAGTTTGATAAGAACAAGACCATGTAGGGTTATGATGAGTTGCTTTGGCTCATTCCTTCATGTCTATGATCTCATGAAACTGCAACCTTATCTATGCCTCTGTCTGCACTTACTCTTGAATATTTTCAAACGGTAATCGGTAAAAACAAGTCAAATCCGTTGATGGCTGAGAGTTTATCAAAAATCCTATGAGCTCCCGTGAGGGATGATTAAGTCTATGTATTCAATATCATAGCACCAAATCTAAGAGAGTTTATTCTCTTAGCACAACGTTACATATGAAACGGACTTAAATAATCTGCATACTAGTCCGACTCAAACGATAGTCGGTAAAAGCACTTCAAACCCGTTGATGGCTGAGGGTTGCCAAAAATCCTATGAGTATTATGCTTATCTATTCAAAACAGAATGGATAATCATAATAAGGGACAAAATCCAATAACGCTTCAGCTTCACCAGTTGATCTCGTGACTTAAACAGCCGAGCTAACCTCAACTCTAACCGAAGCTTTAAGGATAATAACTTCAGATATTCAGTAACTTCAGAGATAATAGTTGTATCAGCACCAACGACTGGTCCTACGATCAAATCGTTCACAAAGAGCTCAACCTGGCGAGCGTCCGATGCATTCTCAGCTCGTTCTTCACGACACTCAGATGAGTATATGAGTATAAACTGTATCTCCTTGAACCTCCGACGGGTACACGAGGTTAAACCGATTCCCAAAACTCCCAGGAGTATATGAGTATAAACTGTCCTCCCCGCTCCAATACCTTAAAAGCCTAAACTGTGTAGACTCTAATTAACATACAAATGTAAACTATGTTTACACCGATCAACGCATAGCCCTAGGTCAACGCCGGTCAATGTGTTGCGAGGAAGTCAACGCCGATCAATGCATTGCGATGAAAGTCAACGACAGTCAACGCTTAACATTGGGTCAACATCGGTCAACGTGTTGCGATGAAAGCCAACGTCAGTCAATGAGTTACAACGAAGGGTCCTTTTTCTGCCTTCCATGTGTGAATTCTCTAAGTAATTTTCTCAATTAGACTTGTGCAACTTGAAGTTGACAATCTCTTTTAATTATTTATTTCCTTTTTGTTTTCATATGATTAGTTTCAATTTTCAGTATTTAATCGACAAAGAGCAATGTATGAGGGCCAAAATAGCAAACCATGCAAATCTGGAGTCAAAAACACTTTGTTCTTCAATGTGCTTTGGGAAAGTTTAAAAACTTGTTTATGTATGAGGTAAGATCTTGATGTGTAGCAAATTTCACTTTAGAGAACCTTTTTATTTCCTATGTAACTGGTAATGTGATACTGATCTGCTGGGTAAGTTGGTATATTGTTGTAGTTGTGTCAAGGATTTTAGGCATGTTAAGAGCTTATGAAACTATATTTTTCTTCCTTTATTTTATAGGGATGTTTTCTAATTATGTGCTATGTTTTATATTGTAGAAGACATTACTGTGTTTGTAAATTTTGAGTATAAAAAATATATTACACTGCTCTATTGTATTTTGATTGGCAGAATATAAAAATTACATTTTGTTTACTGATTATATTTATTTTTTATGATTTTCGAATTATTGGCAAATACATACCAGATATTTGACAAATGATTCGAAATCAAAGTTGCAGAATAATGCTAATCGAATATTCGCAAATTTTTTTCGAACATCTATATAAATAAACGAAGCGAATTCAAATTTATACTGCTATTCAAGTCAAATTCAAATACGAACACGAATACCACCACAGAAACCGAACTCAAATTTAAACCTTGCACTATTCGTTCAAATTCGATTTGATTCCACCCGTACTTCCAATCATGTCAATATATCATGTTTCCTACCTCTTGTGGAATTTTTGTGTCACATGTGCAATTCTTGTTTATGTTTAGAGTTCTCATAAATCTTTAGATGAAATGTAACATTAATTTTTTTCAAACTATGTTAAATGCACCACAAAAAAAGGTAATGCGTACACCTAAAAGCAAGCCTAACAGTACAAAACAGGTAGCATAAGTATTTCTACTATGAAGTTTTTTAGTACATCAAAGTCAACATACCTTGTTATCCTTTGAAATACACAGATATGATACATTACGCAGGCAAATAATCAATGACGTAGCTTACAAAACACTAAAATATCAATTTAACAACTAGGAATATCATATTAGTCAATTAAGATTTAAGACACCAAGAGAAAAAAAAATCTTTGTGTGAGTTATAACCCAAGCAGGTACGGTGCTTGCACTCCCAAGAGAAATACCAGGCACTGGCTATCCGCCCCCACCCGCCCCTCTCTCCTCTTTTGGCTTTTAATGTACCACTCTAAACTTAAAAAGAACTACTGGGTTGTAGGCTACCAAAGAAAGAGAGAACAGGCTTCAACCTCACCCTTTCCTCGCTTCATAACACCATCCCAAGCCCCCAATCTATACATGTGGGATACATTGCCCATACTATTTAGTTCGAGAGAAATGGGCTTGTAACGGTGTCGTTAGTACAAATAATTTGGCAACTAATTTCTATGTGCTACTTTTCATATGGAAATCTAAATAGTCTTAACTGATAAATGGTGATTGCTTTCAGGTTTCTTTTATGACCTGTTGATAGAAGAAATTCAATCTATCTAGTGGACTTAAATCAGTCCAACTGATAGATGTCCTACTTGGCTAGCCTCATACAAGCATAATGTTGTTCTCATAATTTTATACACATGTATTTTGTTGCGAATTTGTAAATACTTTTAAAGTAGCTTTTGATGGGCAGGCAGGTCTCATCGCATCTCACCTCAGAAGTGATACATGACTATTCTGCTTCATATTTGCTTTTGAATCTCTAGTCTCAACATGTCCACTTCAGTTAAACCTTAGAAATCAATTAGACTATTAGAGTTACACATAAATGCACAGCCAATCTCTAAAAAATATTAATCAACATTATCTGGCTTAAACCATCAACTAGCCTTGCATTATGAGAATGTGATTTCATTTAGCTCTTCGGCTTTATATCATATTTTTCATAAACAAACATAAATCCTACACCAAATCTAATCACCTTCCACTATTCCTATACACCCTTTGTCAATGGGATTAAGGGGTGATTGATGTTAATTTGAAATCTCAAAATCGAGAGAAAGTTGAAGAAATTCCCAATTTAAGTTCGTTGATCTCGATTTAGAGTCAAAAGGAGGGGGTGAAGTTACCACATGACGGCGCACAAGCCCTTTCCGGTGACCACATGCCAGCGCTTCGGTGCGTGATGCACGTACCCTCTGTACGTTGCTCCTCCGCCTCCCATTTCTCGTCTCCCCCTCGATCGATCGACTTTCGAATGGGATCGCACCACTGGCCAGCGCTTCGAGTTTCTCACCCCGGATGCGCTCAATTTTTCAAGGCTTCAAGCCGCTTGTCGGGCCAAGCTCTCATTGAATTGTGATACGAGAAGCGACATCCGAGCCCAGCCCATTAGTAGAAACTCGAAAAGGCCGCCCTTAGTTGACGCCGGCCCACTTCTAATTTTAAAATTAGTGAGAACACTGTAATTTTTTTAATTTAAATTTTGAATTCTGAAGTTTCAGTAGTAGTTATTTTTCTTCTTCAAGATTATCTAGTTATGTCATTAAAATCTAACCTAAATGATAAAAAGAGGGTTTAAGTAATAACCTAGAATTAAAATCAAGATTTCCCCAATAGATTACTCAAATCTAGTCCCTCCAAAATTTATTCGTGTCTGAGCTTTCAAGAAATATATAAACGCTCATATGATCCATATTAGAAAAATATGAGCGAAATTCTTTCTGTTCATTTCTCGAGACTTAGTTTTTTCTTTGGTCTGACTTTTAACCATAAATTTCTTTTTTCCAACTTCTGCTTTATTTTAAAAGAACTAGTTCTTATGCACGTGCAATGCACATAGTTAAATATCAAAATTATTTATTTTCTAGCTATAAGATAATTTAGAGTCATCTTGAGTTAATCTTTAAACATGGATTATTACATTTGCCATAAATTTTATTTACATTTTTTTAAAAATTTTATGAAATAGATTTGCATGTAAAACTAGGATCAATATACTTTTATATACTTGCATACACAACATTATTTTTTTAAATTTGCATATATCAAACTTCATGTAACATATTTGTTTATCGGATCAAATCGTCGATCTCCAATTTGTTTATCTTAGTCATTAAATATAGTGTTAAGTTTGAAAAAATACAATAATGTATTGTTGGTGTGTTAATAAAATATAACCAAATACTTAATGTGAAGATGGTTTGTATAAGCTCAGCAAAGTGTACATACTTTTCACAAGATTGAAAGACATCTTAATTATTGATAGACTTAAAATAAAAAAATAAATACTAAATATTACTAGCGACCCTAGTATAATTTTATATGACAAAATCATTCACATAAGTATATTAAAAATTTTGCATCAAAAGCCCTTCTAAAGGTTCCTAATTTTACTCAAAAAATTAAGTTCTACTATAAAATATTCAAAAAAATATCATCTTTTGTTCCTTCTTTTTTCATATTTAATTGAGCGAAATCAATCATTCTCCACCTTTATCTTTTTCTTGAGTAATTCTACAATAGTATCCTCATCGTCTATATCAATTGTGTTATCAGGTTGATATATAATAAAGAGCAAAATATAAGACAATAGTCCAGAAATATATTAGGATATACTTAGATCAATCAAGTTATATTATTACTCATAATTGATATGTATCAGAGACAAAATATGTTGACAATTTTAAACTATAAAACGGACTGTATGGGCTCTCTAACAAAACTTTTTTAATACAAACAACACTCAAGATTAATTTTGAAAATCTCTTGGGGTCAGGAATAAACAACTAACAAGTTTGTAGTGAAAGGTAGGAGAATGCAGTACATTCTTAAGAATTATTAATCTTTACTTAATTTGTTTATAATGACAGGATCTCATTATTAACTAACTACAAGGCCTAGTACATTATTTTTTTATTGGACGTTCAATGTAGACAGAGAACCTAGGTGAGTCCTCATCACAATGAATGTTATATAATTTAAGTACAAAGAAAAAAAGGAGGATTGATCAATGATGTAGTTGGTGAAGGGATACTCCAACAGCTTAATTTGGGTATGTGGATATATTATAGATGGAGATGGAGAAGTGTGGTTTTGAAAGCAGTGAGTGTGTGGGGTAATTAATATGATTTTTGTTTGTGTGGTTTTCTTCATTCATTTTCAAGATATATGTAGTCATGTGGATATATATAGCATAGCATTACTATTTTCTTTTGGCTTTGTGGAAGAGTTTGGGTAAAAAAATAAATTATCTAATCCTGTTAAAGTAGGATCATGTAAGTTAAGCTCATGCATGAAATTTTTTTAGCCAACACTAATATGTAAGTATTACAATTGGTATTGAGATCTAAAATACGTATGAGATTCTTTTTGACTTTTATACAAATAGTATATTTTAAATAATAAAAGTATAATTAAATTTATAATCTAAAAAAGATCAAATATACAATATAATTAATTGCTTTAAAATAATGTGATCTAATCTAATAAGAAGAAAAAATTGCTTTAAAATAATGTGATCTAATCTAATAAGAAGAAAATAGATTAAAGTGATTTAAAAATTATTATAATTTCATAATTCATTCTAATCTAATAAGAAGAAAATAGATTAAAGTGATTTAAAAATTATTATAATTTCATAATTCATAATTTGTAAACAATCTAATCTAATAAGAAGAAAATAATAAAGGCACATACTTGTTGAAAGAGATGAAAGTGTTATGAAAATTATTGTAATTTCTGATATAAAAAAAGATCAAACATACAATATAATGAATTGCTTTAAAATAATCTAGTATAATCTAATAAGAAGAAAATAGATGAAAGTATTGTGAAAATTATTGCTATTTCTTAATATGAAAAAAGATTAAATACACAATATAATTAATTGTTTTAAATTAATCCAATCAATCTAATAAGAAGAAAATAACAAAGACACATATCTATATAATGAAATGAAAGTGCTATGAAAATTATTGTAATTTCTTGGCTTATATATATTGACATGTGTTGTTGCATGTGAGAGAATAATAATTATAAATAGAGTTCTATTTACATAATAATAGTATAATTAAACTTTGAAACTCATTATGCACTACCGTGAACTACTTGAAATTTAATCGGTGAGAGATCGCCATATTGTGTCCTCAGATTGTAGCCATTTTTTTAATTTTTTTTTATAATTTTGAGAACGACTGTTCTCTTTAATTTGTTTGGTGGATTTTACAAATATCTCATCCATATTATGTACATTTATAGATCTTCGCTGTTTCTAGGTTCGACCTTTGGGGCAGACATTTTTTGTCTCGTTGATTTGTTTGGTTTTTGCATATACTCCTTTCATCTTGTATACATTTATAAAGTTAACATTTAATAATTTCATTCATGTTTATATTTTAATTTAAACTATATACATATCTTTATATTATGTATATCTAATAAGAATTCATCAATTTATCAATTTACTCTTACTTAATCGATTAGTATTTGAATTATTTTAAGGGTATTTTTATCTACCGAAAGATTTTCCCGAACTCTTGCTTTTAAAAGGAGTATGATTATCTGTGTTTTATCAATATTCTACGTAAGAAGAATACCATATTTGTCTATTCATCTTCGTGTGGTGGTCTACTTTCTAATTAGTTCTGCAGTGAGACAAATAGATCCGACTTGTCAATAATATTCCAAATATGAAACCAAATAGGAAGAAAAACGAGTTTTATATCAGGATTGCCAGACGCATGATATAAGGGTGGGCATGGGCCAGATCAGGGCCACCTGCACTG